CATTTGCCAGATTCTTGTAGAAGTGAAATAAATCATGGAAGTGAAACAGAAAAAAAGTTATGTAAGTTTGAGTTAATGAAAATGAACAATGTAAAAATTTAATTATTTATATTTTATATAAAATATATATATTACAAAATATATTTTACTCTAAAACTGCAAGAAAATGAAAGCCAAAAATCTTAAGAAGTTGTGTTCCAAATTTTAGGTTGATATCTCAAAAAATAAGCTTTCAGTCAAGATTTTATTTTGGCGCATACCAAACTTTTTCACTAGATGGAAAGCCAAGCTTCCTTACTGACCATATAAGGGCACCTACATTTTCATATATGTTTTGAGTGATCTGAACCATGTATTTCCATAATTTTCATACAATTTATGAAGTAGACATCTTATTCAGAAGTAGTATGGGTGGTTTGACAGTATTTGATTTGAATTAATAAACGCATAAAAAGAGCACATATGTGCTGCAATAGGCCTGGAGGTTACTAAGGAAGAATTCCATCGTTTGATCTTACACTGTGTGTGTGTGTGTGTGTGCGTGTGTTCAAGAGAGAGAGACATAGTGTGTGACCTTTGCATTTTGGACCCAATGTCTCCCCTTTATTTGATTCATTGATTTTATTTCACATATTCTCACATTTCTCTGTTACAGTTTCACCAGTCTCATATTTCCCTATGTGTGTGTGTGTGTGTATTTTGCAACCTTGATTGTTTACAGTCTCATGCGTTCATTGCTGTGCGCTTTATTTCTTACATTGATGAATAATTGCTTTTATTTCACACGTTTCCCAAAATTAGCTTTTGCAATGACACGCGTTCATTTGTGTACATGCGTGTGTTTTTGTGTGTGTGTGTGTGTGTGTGTGTGAGTGTATTTGTCTGTTTTGCACTCTTGATGTTTTAGAGATTCCCCCCTTCACTGTTGTGTGCTTTTTTTCCTGCATCGTGGCTGATTTGTAGATTGTACGCACAAATAAACTCTGTATTTTCATATTTTTGCCAATTTCCCATTCATTTCCTATGGCCGGTCATTTTTGACCGAAGGTCCTGAGTGTGACTATTTTTTTTATGACCACTTAGACTTTTCAAATCCTGTCCCCAATTTTTTTGTGTGTTCGTATACCAAGTACCGTAAAAGTCACCAAGTTTCGTACCATTCCGACGAAGCTACGGTTTTTAACATTTTTTTATTTTAAAAAATCCGGTCAGAAATGAGGGTTAACATATCTGGCCTTGTATGTCTTAGACCCATCTACCCCACACTGCATGTTTCCCCTCAGGTAGTGTGGTTAAAGTAAATGTGTCCGTTACCCCTTTCGTGGCCTAAGCCCACATCTGGGATTTATTTAACTAGATGTTGCTTCACAATATCTTTAAGGATCATCAGGATCACCACCATTGGTGTAATCTATAGCTTCTGCTCACATTGTGTTGATCTGGGTTTACAATCGGACATATGCAATCTCAGTTCATTTGAAATATAATCAAATACCAACAAAACATAGTCCCAAAACCCTCACTATCTAAAACCTCACTATTTTAGAAATGTGCAATAAAAAAAATATATATACCATAAATGCTTATAATAATAATATCAGATATTGGTTTTGCTCTTACAGTTTTTTGTTTTGTTTTGTTTTTTAAAGATGCTGTTACATTTATAATGCACAGTGACCTTAGACCTCATATTATATTACAGGTCTGAGGGGATTTTGAACATTTTATGTCATTATCCATTTTTGCCATTTTGTTTTCAAAAGGGAGCAAACAGCAGTGGATTTTATCTAATATTTTGTTAACTTTTTGACCAAAAGGTCTAACAATTAACCACTCAGGTGTTGATAGTAAAAATTAAAGGTGCAATATTTTCTGTTTGTATTACTTTTGTTATATTATGTGGATCACATTGAAAGGGTATATAAATATATGCTTGCTGATTGCTTCCCTCCACATCTTTTTCTATTTACTGCTACTTTATTGTACAGCCGTGGCAAAAAGTATTGGTAGTGATTTTGTATTTCGAAAAGTTTCCTGCTTCAGTATTTGTAGATTATTTTTTCACGTTTCTATGTAATACTGGAAAAAAAGAAAAGCATTTCATAAGTTTTAAAGGCTTTTAGCAAAAACATTCAATATAAGAGTCAATATTTCCCGTGTTGAGCCGCCGCCTTTAAAACCTCTTCAATTTACTCTGGCATGCTGGATATCAGCTTCTGAACCCAATCATGATGATGGCCATCCATTCTGGCCTTTATTGCTTGGTTTTGGTGAAATGAATCTTTTTGCATATATTTAAAATGCATCTGATCACTCTGCACAATAATCTAGAAACAATGAATCAACACAACTGAAGCAGAAACAAATGAAACACACAGTTTATTTCACTGCCAATACTTCTGGCCACGGCTGTAGTTCACAATTAAGCAGTCCAGTGGGGTAATCTCTTGTTTGAGCCCTTTGTCTTGGACAGAATGACATTTACCTCATTTCATTCAAGGATTATGATAAAAATCCTAAAAATATACCTTTCTCGTTTAAGGTTATTATTATTGCAGTATTAATGAATCTAAATAGATTAGTAAATAAATAAAAATTACATTTGTTTTGGTCCCAGTGCCTCGGTTACACCAGAAATATGATTAGTGGCCATGTACTGGAACATTTGAACTAAAAACCATATATTCTTGAGATGTACTATTTTCATTTGGTTACGGTACTTATTCTTGTATTTTATGAAGACATATAGTAACATATTGTAAAGTAATGTTAGAATGTGAGAAAAAGTCATGTTAAACATCAGTAGACTATTAATTATCCTTTTATTATCTTGTTTTAAATAGTTAGTCCACAAATTTGAAAGCCTACATATTAATCATTCACAGTAATGTGAATATACACTCACCGGCCACTTTATTAGGTACCCCATGCTAGTAACGGGTTGGACCCCCTTTTGCCTTCAGAACTGCCTCAATTCTTCGTGGCATAGATTCAACAAGGTGCTGGAAGCATTCCTCAGGGAGTATGGTCCATATTGACATGATGGCATCACACAGTTGCCGCAGATTTGTCGGCTGCACATCCATGATGCGAATCTCCCGTTCCACCACATCCCAAAGATGCTCTATTGGGTTGAGATCTGGTAACTGTGGAGGCCATTTTAGTACAGTGAACTCATTGTCATGTTCAAGAAACCAATTTGAAATGATTAGAGCTTTGTGACATGGTGGAAGTAGCCATCAGAGGATGGGTACATGGTGGCCATAAAGGGATGGACATGGTCAGAAACAATGCTCAGGTAGGCCGTGGCATTTAAACGATGCCCAATTGGCACTAAGGGGCCTAAAGTGTGCCAGGAAAACATCCCCCACACCATTACACCACCACCACCAGCCTGCACAGTGGTAACAAGGCATGATGGTTCCATGTTCTCATTCTGTTTACGCCAAATTCTGACTCTAACATCTGAATGTCTCAACAGAAATCGAGACTCATCAGACCAGGCAACATTTTTCCAGTCTTCAACTGTTCAATTTTGGTGAGCTCTTGCAAATTGTAGCCTCTTTTTCCTATTTGTAGTGGAGATGAGTGGTACCCGGTGGAGTCTTCTGCTGTTGTAGCCCATCCGCCTCAAGGTTGTACGTGTTGTGGCTTCACAAATGCTTTGCTGCATACCTCGGTTGTAACGAGTGGTTATTTCAGTCACTGTTGCCCTTCTATCAGCTCGAACCAGTCTGGCCATTCTCCTCTGACCTCTGGCATCAACAAGGCATTTCCGCCCACAGAACTGCCGCTCACTGGATGTTTTTTCTTTTTCGGACCATTCTCTGTAAACCCTAGAGATGGTTGTGCGTGAAAATCCCAGTAGATTAGCAGTTTCTGAAATACTCAGACCAGCCCTTCTGGCACCAACAATCATGCCACGTTCAAAGTCACTCAAATCACCTTTCTTCCCCATACTGATGCTCGGTTTGAACTGCAGGAGATTGTCTTGACCATGTCTACATGCCTAAATGCACTGAGTTGCCGCCATGTGATTGGCTGCTTAGAAATTAAGTGTTAACGAGCAGTTGGACAGGTGTACCTAATAAAGTGGCCGGTGAGTGTATAGTGTATAATAAATATAATTATAGTGTAGGCCTACTAACCTTGTGTTGTGTAGAAAGAAAGAAAGAAAGAAAGAAAGAAAGAAAGAAAGAAAGAAAGAAAGAAAGAAAGAAAGAAAGAAAGAAAGAAAGAAAGAACTTGTCTCATACTGTAAGGGCACACCATAAAATTGCAGAAAAACAAACAAACATGAGATCACTTTGGTATTAAATTACAGACTACTTGCATTGATAATCTAAAGTTCATTGACTAGAATAGTGGGTGGAGTGAGTCCACCTATCTCCACTTCTCACAGCCAGCACTCCACAAGGCGCTTTAAACTTTGGTGAAAGTCCCGTGCCCTTTTGGAGTTCCCCCACCCCTTTAGTTCAAGAGTTGAAAACCATTTGTAAAACATTTTTATTTGCAATAAATATCGTAAAGCTCATTGTCTATAAGCTTATTTTATTGATTCGTATGCAAATCCGTTTAATTTTTGTGAAAGGTATAACATTTATTTGTGCATCTGATTTTAGATATTTGTGAATAAACCTTCTATTTGTGAATATGTGCAATGCTAACGTTACGTGTAAAAAGAATAACCCCATATGCTAATCTCGTTTTTTTTCCCACGTAGAATAAAATAGCCTGCCAACTAAACTATCTAAGGTCTATTTGCATGTTGCATGTGATGTTCTCAAAAAGTACTTACTTTAATATTTAGTAGGCTACATGCAATAGCTATATTATTTAATACATTTGTTAAAAAAAGAAAAAGAATAGGTGACGAGTCACCTGAAACTAACCCACAAGCCCAACCCACACACAACGTGACAAACACCAGTTCCTTTCCATCATCCGCCTTCAAGAAAACCATGAGCAGACTGGGACTCTTACATACTGAAGCACACACGCATGGAGCGTTGTCACTATTGATACACACGCCATGACATGAGTCGGGGACAAGAGCTGTAAAACAAATACATAAGATGGAAGTGGAGGAAGACTTCTACTCGTATGAGTTCAGCAACGATGCCGACCTGCCGGTGTATAAGGACAGCGAGGAGCTGTTCGCGGCTCTTCGGCAGAAGGAGGATGAAGTTCTTCTGGCTGCTCAGGTGGGCAAAGCTCTGCTCATAGAGAACAGACAACTGAAAGAAGACAGAGACACACTCCAGGACAAGTACATGCAGCAGCTGGAGGTGAGACTCGAGACAAGTTTCCATCTCTCTGCAGCGGAATAACAGAGAGTCGTCATAATTTCCGTCTTTTTGTTTGTCAGTCAAGTCACCTTTATTTATATTGCTTTTCACCATGCAGATTGTTTCAAAGCAGCTTTACATTGATAACAGGACAATAATGCAACAAAGTGTGTTTCTGATAGACTCTCTGAGTCTGGAGAAAACAGTGATGTCCTCGTCCAGCTTTGTCTTTTTTTTTGGCGACAATAATCTTCTAAAGGTTTCTGTTTTATATAAAACATATATTCACGTGTCTACTTTCATGTCTCTAGGTCTACTGTACATAGTACAGTATGTCTATAATACTGTATGCTGTTGTCCCTAAATGTTTTTGGACACGTTAAAAACATTTAAAAGCAAGTGTAATCTGATGGTGTTAGAGCTTTCCTCAGAACCAGCCTTAAGCAACTGTGGTGTCATGATCATTTTTAGGGACTGTATGAAGTCAGTTTCCCTCAGGTTCACACAGGTCTTCTTTTCAGCTCTGATATTGTTTTATCACTTCAGACACTTCAGACTCTCTATCTTTCTTTGAACAGTTTTCTGTTCTGTTTTCTTTTAACAGTGTAGCTATTTACTTTAAGGCAAATGACACTTGCTTTGATAGTTTGTTATCTAATACAATCAGACATTTTTTTAGTTTTCAAAAACTTTTGCAGGCCAGTTTATGAAAATATAAAGACGTTTTTAGGCAGATATTCAAAATTTCATGCAACAGTAAATCTAACGGTAACACTTTACAATAAGGTTTCATTAACTACTTTAGTTAACATGAACTAAGAATGAACAATACTTCTACAGCATTTATTAATCATAGTTAATGTTAATCTCAACATATACTAATTCATTATTAAAATCAAATGTATTTGTTAACATTAGTTAATTTCAATTTCAATTTCAATTTATTTATAAAGCACACATAAACACAACTTCCGTTGACCAAGGTGCTGTACACAAAAAATAGTAAATTAAAATAAAAACAACCACAGGGCAATTGCTTCAACCTTTAGTTTGCATACGACAGGTCAAATAAAAATGTCTTTAATCTCACTTTAAAGATAAGCAGGGTTGGTGCAGCTCTGATTTCTGGAGAGAGGCTGTTCCAGAGTCTAGGAGCAGCACTAGAAAAAGCCCTGTCTCCTCTAGTCTTAAGTTTAGTTCTCGGAGCCACCAGAAGGCCTAGGTTCGCAGACCTAAGAGCTCTAGGTGGTTGATGGACAGTCAATAAGTCCGTGAGGTACGATGGAGCCATCCCGTTTAACGACTTATATACTAATAATAAAACTTTAAAAGTAATTCTATGTGCACCATGTGTTCTATGTGTAACCAGTGCAAAGACTTGAGGACAGGAGTTATGTGTTCTCGTTTCCGAGTTCCTGTCAGGACTCTTGCAGCGGCATTCTGGACTATTTGGAGGCGGTTGATGGATGACTCCCTGATCCCCATATAAATTGAGTTACAATAGTCCAGCCTGGTAGAGATGAAAGCATGTATAACTTTTTCTAGGTTCGAGACTGAGAGAATAGACTTAATTTTTGCCAGGGTTCGAAGCTGGTAAAAGCTTGATTTCACCACTTGATTGACCTGTCTATCCAGCTTTAAGCCACTGTCCAGTACCACTCCCAGGTTTTTAACAAAAGGCTTAACATATGGAGTCAGGATACCCAGATTTATGTTTGTTGTATCATGTACACTGGAAGGTGTAAACACTATAACCTCAGTCTTGCCCTCATTCAAACTTAAAATTTTTTGCAACATCCATGCTTTCACATCCTCAAGGCAATTGGCCATCTTTTCTAAAGTCATTCCACGGTTGAGAGGAAAATACATTTGAGTGTCATCTGCATAGCAGTGAAAGTTCAAATCATATTTTCTAAAGATAGTACTCAGCGGAAGCATGTATAAAGAGAACAATATTGGAGCTAGTGTGGAGCCTTGAGGAATTCCACATGTTAACTTTACTGGTGCAGATCGGTAGTTATTAATATTAACTGAAAAACTCCTGTTAGTAAGATAAGACTGGAACCACTGTAGGACTGGGCCTCTAATGCCCACTGTATGTTCTAACCGTGAAATCAGGACATTGTGGTCTATCGTATCAATACGCACGTGAACTAACATTCAACAATAATCAACAAACAGATGGATTTTTATTAACAAACATTAATAAAAACTGTAACAAATGTATTACTAATTGTTAGTTCCTGTTAGTTAATACATTAACAAATGTTATCAAATGAGACCTTACTGTAAAGTGTTACCAATGTAACAAGTTCTTCATATTTTTTATAATTTAGAAATAAGATCTGAAATAAGAAATGAGAACAGGTTCACATCAGATTTCATGTGTCTTGTCTCATTTAATGACGGCAAATCAGATTCAGTTAAAGTTGTATGACTTAGAAAATAAAATATGTAACCTTAAGGATTGTTCACCCTGAAATTCAAACTCGGTTATCTTTTATTCACCCTCGTGTCGTTCCAAACTCATATGACTTTTTCAGCTGTGGAAATCAAAACAAGATGTTTAAAAATATATAATTTGATCCCATTTGCTTTCATTGTATGGATAAAAAGCACTGGGATGTTTTTCAAAATATCTTTTGTGTTACACAAAGAAAGAAAGTCATAATGGTTTGAAATGACATGAGGGTAAAAGTGTGGAAGACTATCATTGTAAGTTTACTACTACTAAAAATAAAGATTACACAACAAATGCCCTGGGCATAGTTGTGTTTCGCTGTAGAATCCACTATTAATGTAAAGTTAGGCCGTGTTGTTTTAATAATGTTAGTGTGATATCTCAGATTAAAATGCAGTGCAGCTGTAGTGATTGGACCTCGGGCTGCTGTGTCCTCAGGAGCTCCAGCAGGGCCGGTACGAGCTGCGGGGCAAGCTGGATATCTGTCAGGCTCAGTGGGAGAGCCAGGTGTCCGAGCTGGAGCGAGATGTGCAGGAGCGTCAGGCGCAGGTGGACACACTGACCCAGGCTCTGAGCGAGGCTGACAGTGAGAAGACCAGACTGAAGCATGAGCACAGCGAGCAGAGCCAGAGACTCAGAGAACAGCTGCAGACGGTCAGTGACACCTACTGTACTCACAGCACACAGCTTTTACCCTTCTTTTCAAGCTTCACGTTTACCAGTGCGGTTCGTGATCTGAACAAACACCAACCCCGAGTATTAATCCTTGGTGTATCATTGGAACTACTGGCATGAAATGACACATCAAGTAGTGCAGCGTTTCAAAATCATTGTAACCTTCTCTCTCATATATGTAGTGATCACAGTGACAAGCCAGTGTTCATGATAATGATCATTAAAGGCTGGTGCATTTGTTGCTTTGCCAGTGGAAAGAGAGAATGTGCTCTTTTTTATTTATTACACACGTAATATACGCACACATATGTAGGGGGCATAAAAAAAGACGATAACGATTAGAAGGCCAATAGTGCAACAGATACCGTCTCTCGCTCACAAAAGATGACGTCACACTGTTCCTTGCACAGTGTAGCAGATATGACATGGTAAAATGAGTCATTCGCACATTTTAACTGCTAAGTCTGCAATATTTGCTTTAAGTTAATCTATGGGTAACACTTACAATAAGGTTTTAGTGGTTAACTACACAAATAAACATGAACGAACAATGAACAGCATTTGTTAATCTTAGTTCATGTATGTTAGTATCTTAGTTAATCTTAGTATCTGATAACATTAATGCTCTGTGAATTGTATTTTGTATTAACTAACATTAACAAAGATTAATAAATGCTGTAAAAATATATTTCTCATTGTTAGTTCATGTTAAATAAAGCATTTACTAATGTTAACAAATGGGAGATTACTGTAAAGTGTTACCAATCTATAAAAAACAACAAGAAAGTGGTCTCATCTCGTGTCTCGAGTAAAGAGAGCATGATCGCAGCATTTCTCTCTGTGATTGGGGAAGTGCTGTTTTGTTGCATTCCTGTTTGCTTTCATCATCCTTTCCATATGAGCTAAAGCACAGCAACATCTGACTCATATTCCAAAGATAATAGTATGAAACTCATAATAACACATTTCAGCCCAAAATCAAAAGAGAAAAACAAGAAAACATATTTTGTATAAAGAAAATGAAACATATTTTAGGACAATTAATATTTTTTCCACACTATTATGTTATTTTTTAAATAATAATTTAGTTCATAATGGTTGTTCTCATTACCATAATGCAGTAATGTTTTACATTATTACAGTAAAATAAAGATTTTTTGGACTTGTCTCCTAGTCAAAACAAGGAAGAACTTGTCTAAAAACAACAACAACTCAAACCAATTTACCGTGCGTATAGATATTATCTAAATTCAGATCCAACTGCTCCCGTTGACTCATTCACACACGTTGCTCTCACATCGGGCTGATAATCTAATCTCACAGTTTGTTATGCTCAAGGTCAAGGTTTGCAAAATTTTTTTTTTTTTTTTTTTTTTTACATGTTTGTGCTCTTGCCAGGATTCCCAGTTCAAACTCATGAGCTCATTAAAAAAGCTGTTTAATCACAGTTTTGCATTACAGACATGCCAAAACACCAGGGCTGTCTTCTGTTCTGTGTGTAGTCATGTGTTGTTGTCAATTTGGACTGGAGTAATGGCTAACTCATACTGTTCCACTGGGTGGTCACTGGTCCCACACCCACTCATTCTCCACATGACAGTCGACTGAGGTAGACGTCTTTGACGGGTTTTTTCCAAGAAGTCAAGGTTCAGGAAACACTGATGTTTACTGTATGCATCCTGTCCTGCTCTGAAAGAAGAGGAAGTGTCTCTCACTCATTCCACTGCGGCTCCCGCCGTCTATAAGCTCTTTTTTTAACTGCTCTCGAACAGTGTCTAGAGTGGATTTATAGATAAGCGACTTTTATGGTTCGGTTTGAGATATGCTTTTGTCAGTTATGGTAAACAGACCTTGACTGGTGAGTATTTAAGCTATACTTTTTTGAGACAAAAGTAAACTTGTGTGTCTGTCTGTGTGGACCAGTGTCCAGTATAATAGACAGTACAATATGAACGTAATATGCTTAATGAACATGTCTTCATAAAAATGCAGAAAGTTTTTTGTGTGAGGGTTTAGATTAGGTTGGGTTTAATGTGTGTAAGTATTCCTTCTGGTGTTACTGTCTTTTACATACTCTTTGTGCCTGACTGTCCGTACAGTACAGAGGCGTACAGAAGCACTGAGAGAGTCTATCAGGAGAATACTGGGTAATTTTAGGAAACCGGCCTCCCCCGATTGTTTACAGAGAAAGCTCAAAACAAGCATTAGTTTTTCCAGGAAAGCTGAGCCTTCCTGTTCGAGAGAGTAAACCTCTCAGGATGCTTCAAACACGCATCATTCAGGAGTATCAGTTTGATTGTGTTGTTGTTTCTTATATGGGACAATAAACGAGGGTATTTAACATAACCCCGTTTCCTCTGCACACTTTGAATTCACCTTTAAATAGGTGTACTGGAAGTGGAGAGTTGTTGAGGTCACATGACTCTGATTCAGCACATCAGTCAGTTTAATTGCATGATTTGTAAATGATTCACACTTGTGCTGTTCTCCAGTCAGCTGACCATGGTGGACCAGTCTTACGTAATGCCACACCTACCCTCAGCAAACTGCAGGATTTGAGCTATGCTTCAAGTTTAACAGCAGTAGTGATGCATCCCACCATACAAACACCATCAATGGAATTCAATTGGTTATATGCAATGTTCCGACTTTAGAAAATAAATAAGTCTTGAGTAGGGAGCCTCCAAATTCATGCACCGAATTTAACAATGTACACAAAATTGCTATCAGAGTTGTGCGCAACATTAAGTTGTTCCCTGATTTTTCTTGTTGGTTTTTCTTCAGATGTTTTTCTTTGAGCAATTTCACTCTTTTGATCGCATTTGTAAAAAAAAAAAAAATTATATATTTTTTTTTAGCTCTTTAGTGCTGATAGTGTCGACTGCTAGTAGTCCCTTGAGAAAAGCCTGTGATACAATCTGATTAAGAATAAATTGAGATGTATTGGTCTGGGGACGCCACAGGAGGTAGACCCGCCATGACTGCGGTCTGGCTCGGGGCATCAGCTGGCAGGACCGTTACTGAATGCTTACAGGAGCTGGACTTGTGCTGGTTAACATAACGGTACGTTAGCTTTATCTTCAGTCCTGAATAGCCTTTCCCTCAAGGGACCACTAACCTTGTGCCGGTTGGTAGTTGAGTCTCATTGAACCAGGACCTCTTGCCACCCCTCCATATGCTGTTGGGCGTGGGGTCATTCCCCGCCCCCGTCCCATACACACTCACAGTGGCTCTCTGGGATGATGATGATGCCACCGCCAAGACTACGATGCCAAGCTGCATCTGTCATGTGTCTCTTTGATCGGGTCCTGAGCGTGTGTGATGGACGCTGAGGGCTGTCCAGTTATCTGCTGATCAGGCTGGTCTCCACAGGCCTCCCAACGCCCGGTGCAGGCTTTTGTTCAGCTCTCATCAAGCGAACGTAACTCCTTTTCATTGTGAAAATGGGACACATTCCTTAGTGGAAAAACACGTCTCTTTGTTACTGTTGCGTTCTCTTCTTAATTGCGACTCTCCCGAATATGAACCCGTTTGATTTGTGAACACACTGCATGGATTTGAGAGTTTTGTGGTTGATAAGTGAGCGGTGTTGTGTATGTTTAGGGTATGGAAGTGGAGCGAACCATGACCAGCGAGCTTCAAAGGCTAAAACAGGAAATGAGAGAAAGGGGGCATGCCAGACCCCAGGATGAAGAAATCATCAATGCTCTTAGAGAACAGGTGAGGAACGCTTTCACACTTGCACACTCAGATACCTGTATGGCATTATATATGATACAAATATACTCCAAAAATAGTCCAGCACTGATTCTGCAGTTTTTAACGCATGCTTGTTTATTAAATATTATATAACAGTTCATTCCGGACCTCAGATTTGCTTGTCTGTGAGACGTTTAAAGAGTGCTTTCACTGTTTGTCTCTGTGGCTTTCTAGACTAGACCATGTGTGCAATTCTTTGGAGGGGATTCATTCAAGGATTATAATAACATGCAAACTTTTTTGAAAGTTGTGATACATGTTTATGTGTGTGTGTATGTTCAGGTAGCGCGGCTCACGCAACGGGAGCAAACACTTGAACAGCGCTTGAAGATGACTTGTCACGAGAATGAGGAACTTAAAGACAGTGTGTCCTCACTCCACAAACGCCTGGATTTACAGGAACAACAGAGTCACACACACATACAACAGGTTCGGTCACTCACACAACACACACTCACAGACAGATGCTCAATCAAGCAGAATGCTTAATGGTAAATAATAAGGCGGGAAACCGTTGCCTGTAGATTACGTGGAACAGGAATCTGGTGGTTTAGGACTTCTGTCTTTAAATTTCAGTGCAGTTTTTAATAGATAAGTGTTTTTACATGATCCAGAGATGACACACATTCTCAAATGCTGATGTTCTGCCATTGTGTTAGTACAAGATGTCTGTGTGTGCACCAGAGGGAGAAATCAACCAGGGCTCAGGGCAAAAATCACACCAAAAGTGGCAAAATGTTGTTTTGTTTTATACAGTTAGGAAAAAAAATATGCCCTTGTAAATGTAAAAAAAAGAAGCAAATTTCTGGGTCAAATGTTCTTCTGGCTCTTTCTAGAAGATAGCGTGCACACATTTGTACATAGCCTACATGAGTACTAATACATGTTTCCCTGTGTCTCAGCTGGCAGAGGCCTGGCGAGACGTGGACGGGGCTCGTTCCTGGGCACATGAGCTGCAGTCTCGGCTAGAGGAGCTGCAGGAGGAAGTGGCCCTCCAGGAGAAAAGCCACAATGACACTTCTTTACTGTCGGAGCTGGAGAACAATCTGGACACCGCAGACTGGAGCCTGGACAAAGAACAGGTGATGCCCTGAACTGTTCTCACTGTAACCTGATAATGCCACATTGTACCACAATCTACTTTCAAATAAATGTGTTACAGGAAATTTTTCGTGGGCCTGGTTAAAATTAAAACACGTTCAAGGGACAGTGTAACAGGTCACCATTTCTATGGTCATCTTTTGACCACATTTAATGAGATTTTAATTAGTCCAACAGGATAACAACTATTCCATGTAGTAGTATAGTATATAATATACAGTATAGTACCATAGTCTGCCTCTAAAGCCGCTCACACACCAGAAAAGAAGCGGTTCTGCACATTCAGATGTGGTCTGGGATGGATTCTGACCACCATTAATAAAAAATAATTCTACTAATTTATTACATGGGTTGGGTGGTAGGGTAACCAGGGTTTTTCCCGAGACAGTCCCATATTTCAGTTCTATTTTTAGGTCACATTTACACATAGTATTTAGAGAAACAAATATTTCCCCCCCTCCGTTTTCAATAATGACATCGTGCACACAACATCGTTTTCAAAAAAGTTGTCATTTACATCAACCCGCATAAATACCCCGTCGAGCGCCATCATAACTCTGCCATACTGGGCGCTCACATGACGTTAAGCATTTTCTGGCGCATAATGTGACGTTTGAGAACCTTAAACCCAGTTTCTCCCAGTTGACACGGCAACACATAACCGGCATTATCAGAAATCTCCACTTTGGCCGGAGTTTTTAGAAATAATAGTTCTCTGTGATAAAAACAGGGTTTTCGTGTAAATGAGAGGCCAAACCGCAGGGAAATATCTGCGTCTTCCCTTCGTGTAAACGAGGCATTAGTGTCCCGACTTATTATGAAAAAATCGTGTTCCGTATTTGTTCTTTCCTAAATTTTCTGTGCTAGGTGATCATAAAAGCGAGTAGTAGTCTTCTGTCATGGGAGAATAGCCTAATCACAGGTCTCCAGTCTCATCTATCTACCCCTGCCCAGCAGGTCTCTCGGGAGGTGCACGTCATCCTGGAGTTGCTTCAGCCCGTGGCCTACAGAACAGAGGCCGAGCAGAACTCGGATGACAGCCTGCAGGGCATGCTGGGACAATTGAAACATGCAGCACAATGGATAGCACAGAGCGAGACACTACAGGTAAAGTTGTTTTGGAGCACACAGTGACACAAGCGTAACAGAAGCTGACATATGACGTGCTGCATATAACATATCTTCCCTGGAGTATTTTGACATCTCATACAGTCTCACATTTCAACAACAATAGTTCACATTCACAAGCACACAGAAGTGGCCAAAAGTGATGTCCGGAGGTGATATTTGTTTTTAACGACCTTAGAAGTTCGAGGTGAAAAAGACGTACTATTAAATGTAATTTAAATGTACTCGAGTATGTTTTTAGTACAAATACAAATATACTTTAATGCATTTTTAATACATTTAACAGTACGTCTTTTGCCATCAAAATATTATATTTGTTTTAAATATTTTAAATACGAGGAAAGAACAAAAAGCTAAACTTGGTTAAAAGGTATTTAAGTAAGCAATAAGGTACGAGAGGCTGTGCTGTATCGTGAATAAGTCACAGGTGAATGGCCTTGTTAGGTTTGACGCCAAGCGGAGTCAGCCGTGACTTATTCACGATCACGATACAGCACTAACCTCTCATACCTTATTGCTTTTATAAAACGGTTACCACACAATACAAATATTAAAGCCGAAAAATATGTATCTAAGCAACTTTCATGAAGTAAAATCACTAAAAGCCTTCCTTCCGCTGGAAAAAATAGTCCCTGACCGTAAACAGCAACAGAAGTTACATGCATGATTTTGCCATTAGATGGAGGCAAAAACTGTCTTTATGAGTGAGTCAGTCAATAGTGAAGACTTTTACATTCAAAGGACTCAAACTTGTGAACACGGAAAAGCAAGACGCAACTGACAAATGACTAACGTAGACTAACCATGTTCCGTACACTTTTCGCCTATCACCGCACGTCAGCGACCACTCCTCCGTTTCTGAGAGCAAGACTAGCATGTTTGTGTGATCATTCTCCGGGGAATTCCCATTGATTGGTCCGCACTTTGATTGATGTCTTTTGGACCAATCGTTTTTGAGAAAAGTGGGGTAAACTACCTAAAATGGAAAATGAACTGATCAATTTTAATGTTAAAATATTCAATTCATGTAACAATTTATGTTATGTTAACAGGGGCGTAGGAGCCATTATACGTGGGGGGGACATGTCCCCCCCACATTTCAAAATCTAAGTTTTGTCCCCCCCACTATTTCCCAATGTAAGATTTTGTTTTGCACTGCCTGCCTATCTCTGCCGATTTCACAGTCTCCAAATGAATCCATTCGGCAACTTTTAAATACATAATTCGGCCGTATTCTTCAGCTGCTAATCTCGTTGTCAGTCGACCATGATCGCGCACCGCTCGCGCATGCGCATCTAGGTGACACGGATAAATGTACGCAGCGATATATAATGAGTGTTCCTGGGAGATCCTAGTTGCGCGGGATGTGGAAGCGTGCAAAAGTTCTAGAAATGTACATAAAGTGCCCTGGCCTTGAATGACAAGGTAAGGAAAATAAGACTAAATCTAAATTAAATAACCAAGACTAGGTTGGCCATGTGATTTTTCTCAGGAGATGTTTTGAGCATTTTACTTCAGACACCGGATTATCAGCAAACTGCCAAGAGAACTGCTAGCTGGCTACTCAAAATAAACTAGCAATCTATTCAGGCAGCATATTTGTGTTTGATCTGTGTGAATTACAGAAATATAAGACTTGCTAGACCTACTTTTAGCTACCAAGGAACCTTTCCACTAGGATAGATTGATTTAATTTTTCAATCTATCCTTGGGGGGTAAGCTAGGTGGTTAATGGAAATTAAATCAACCATTTATTTGAGTTTTTAATTTTAGTTAATCAGTACATGACTGATTAACAGTAATGTAAATGCTAAATGTCCTAATACCTGTTGATACTACAACAATGCAAAGTATATGCTCTTAACCTTGCAGTTTTTCACATATCATGTAAGACTCATTTTCTCAATTTCTTTGCACGAAACTCTCCAGAAAGTGCCATTTAATGGTTTATTTTTCAAAAAAAATTCCCGGGGGAGCATACCCCCGGACCCCCCTAGGGAGAGCCCACATAATAAATCCCAACTTAATCACTGCTTAGAACCAAACTAAGTAATACAGTCTGTTCCCATAAGTCTTTACAAATTAGCATTTAAGTGCCTTATATATACAAAAATATATATAAAAATTCGGGACATCCCCCAAGCAGCATTTATTGTCCCCCCCAGGTTCAAAATTGCTCCTACGCCCCTGTATGTTAATATTAACTTAATTGAATATAAACATCATCACTGCACTGCTGACAGACGTGCTGCCTGTTTTGCTGCCTGAGAGTGGCGCCAAACGGTCATTGGCCGCAATCGTTTAAAAATTCCCATTTCACAGCATTTAGTCAACCATAAATGAAATTGAAATGCACATTTTCGCTGCTCTAGTTGTCTCCCCATCCAAGCCGCTGTCTGAAGTATAGCTTGCCCACGGGCCATTTTCAAGCGAAGTGGGCGCACCTGGCAAACTTACTGAAATATCACTAAAACAAACAGCTGGAGTGTCTCTGTTTTGATCAGGGATGAAAGAGGGAGAAATGAAGACGACACAGATATGCATTTTGTGTATGACCTAGAAGTATTTATTCAGCGATCGGCGGTTAAAGTTAATCTGTATGGAACATCGTTGTTGTTCGGAACATGGTTAGTCTACGTTAGGGCACAAACCCCCCTTAACTGTTAAAAGGACAATATATCGCAGCGGACATTCAAACGGATTTTTTTATTATGACTATAGGACTGACCTGAAGGATGCTATGTCTACTCTGTAAATGCAGGTACACTCGCGTACTCGATCTCTCACAATACTCTACTATATAAGTTTCAATGAACAACATCAATGAGAATATAATACAGCCTATGTTTACGTTGCTAAGATGGTTGCTAGGGGTGTTGTGTAGTGATGCATAGAATCGTTGGGTGAAGCGGTCATCATAGCCGTGTTTTATCGTGAATAAAACAGCTATTGACCAATCAGAATCAAGGATTGGAACTAACCGTTACAATTTTTTAAATAATATTTGAATAAAGGGTTAAGATGTCAAATTTTCTAGGCCTGAAAATCACTTTTGGCCACTACTCTATATCTTCAAGTATAGCTTCATTCAGACCATATCAGTCATCTTCTATTTGTCCTCATGGCTTATAAAAAGTTTTGTCATTGGGTGAATCTTACGTAACCTGTCAAGAACCTTCCCGGATCATATTCCTTTCATATTAGGCTATAAGGGGGGAAAATAACAAATAATAATTTGCTTAAAGAAAGTGAAGCAGTTTGAACCCTGGTGTTTTTGGATCGGGATTTTCTTATAATACTAAAAATGTATTAGATTAATGATCTATTAATAATTAATTCAGCATCAGTATGAAGAGAATTACTAAAAATCGAACTCAAATATTTGACAGAAAATGAACTAGTTTATGAAAATAATGCAAAACACATGATGGTAATATAAAACATGCCACACATTTCTTTCTTTTCGTTTTTTCTTTTCTTTTTAATTATTTGGAGGTAAAATGTCACCTGGACCCGTTTTTGTGAGATTTGCCCATTGTGAATGGAGAGGGGATCAGAATATATATATATATACAGGGGTTAAAGTGGGCCGGAACGGTCCGACAGGTCCAACCTCAGATAAATAAATAAATAAATAGATTCATTAATCTCAACGAATCTCGCTGGTCCCGAGTTGTGCCGACCGACCGACCAACCTCCCTTCCTCCCCGCTGAACGCGAGCGATTACAAATGCGTGAAATGCACTCACGGTGGTTGAGCGCGGTAAAGTTAGTTTTAGGTTCGATATTTCGCCTGACATTTGTTTTCCCTAGCCACTGTTCTATAGGGTTTTACAAAGATATCAATAGCAGGATTAGTTTTAACATTATGTAACCATTGTATATCGACATGAAATATTCGTTCAAAATCACCTAATTGCATTAATGCTGCATATTTATACCTTTTTTTGGGCCTTCAAAAGTCTTAAATTGCACATTTGTAGGTCAGAGAAATAAAAATTTCCCTAAATACCTCACATTTTAATGCACATGTCTGTGGGTGGGGCTGTGGATGATAATTATACCAAAAAAGTATTGCTATACCACGATACTCAATATGTTGTCCCACGGTGAGCCATTTTTCCCTGTTGCACCTACACAAAATTTGAGGTTTCCCCACCTGCCAAATCCCACTTTCACCACTGTATATATATATATATATATATATATATATATATATACTATTTACTGTTAATTTGCATCAGTAATTGCTGAAGTGTGCAATGTTATTAATGGACTAAAGGTTTGGATATTAAACTAACTTTCCACTATGCTATTGATGCATTATATTGCTAGTTTATGTCAGTTGACATTGGTTGAGTGTTAGCATTGAAGTGGGAATCGTGTCAGAGTGTTTCGCTCAGGTTGGGGTGTGTTCAGTAAGGATCAGCGAAGCCACAAATGTAGCCAGAGGTGGAGACTGAGAGAGAGAGAAGGAGGGAGAGATGGAACAGAGGGCTGTTTATGTCTGTTACATGATACTGATGCTGAAGAGAGATACACCACCCTGCCACCAAGGCCTAACAAAGGCGACGCTTCACGAATTCTCCCAGGCTAACCCCCATGCAGTGCTTAACGCTCCTGTATCATTGGTGTCTGCAGGAGATGAGGAAGTCCATTGTGGGACCGGTGAGCGATCCTTGTGAGAATGTCATCCGGACACAGGAGCTACAGGATCAGGTAACATTTATCCGTGCATTCAAGCTTTCAGCCACAACCAATAACAGCCCAATACCACTGTCACTGACCTGGGGTCGGTTTCTTAAAAATGGCTCCATTCTTTGGAGGGCCTGGCAAAGCCTGAGGAATGTTTTTGTATTTTTTTATTTTTACAAAGATTCACTGCTTTTCCTGCAGGGATTCTCAGCTGAATTAAGACATTTAACAAATGCAGTCAATTGGTGAATGTGTTGAGAGTCTCCGATAGATATGCTTTTAGGAAGACTGTCCTCCCTCACTGACTCTTATTTGGGCCTTTCACACTTTAATTGGCTAAAGGTGAAATGTGTAATTTCTGGCAAAAATGATCAATTGCATAAGTAATAGTTGTCAAACACTTGCACCCCATCTGAATAACTTCACCTTTAAACTCACCATTTACATAATCCTGGCTTATCTTGTTCTGTGTTTTACACGGTTCATACTTTGCCCTAGGGTTAACGTCTGTCCTGGGTCAGCAGTGTTTAAGTTTTGGGTTAGCATTTTTTATTTGCATATTTACAGTGGAGAAAATAATTATTTGAACCCCTGATGATTTTGTAAGTTTGCCCACTTACAAAATATTTTTATGGTATATTTTAACGGACAGAGACAGAATATTAACCAAAAAATCCAGAAAAAACACATTATATAAGGGTTATAAATTGATTAGCATTTGGTCGAGTGAAATAAGTATTTGATCCCCAACCAACCAGCAAGAACTCTGCCTCCCACAGATTGGTTATGTGCCCACGTGGAACACAGATTAGCCCATTCACTTTAAGAAAGTACTCCTCATGTCACTAGTCCACAGAATCTGTATCTTCTATTCCAACCTCTCCACCACCATGAGCAAGACCAAAGAGCTGTCAAACATCAGGGACCAGATTGTAGACCTGCACAGGGCTGGAAAGGGCTACAAGACCATCAGCAAGAAGCTTGGTGAGAAGGAGGCAACTGTTGGTGTGTTTATTCGGAAATAAGAAATATAAAATAACCATCAATCGCGCTCGGCCTGGAGCTCCCTGCGAGATCTCGCCTCATGGGGTACGGATGATCATGAGAAAGGTGAGGGATCAGCCCAGAACTACACGGGAGGAGCTTGTTAATGATCTCAAGGCAGTTGCGATCACAGTCACCAAGGAAACCATTGGTAACACACTACGCCGCAATGGATAGAAATTCTGCAGAGCCCGCACATGTACAAGCACATCTGAAGTTTGCGAATGAACATCTAATGATTCAGAGAAGGCTTGGGAGAAAGTGCTGTGGTAAGATGAGACCAAAATCAAGCTCTTTGGCATCAACTCAACTCGTCGTGTTTGGAGGAAGAGAAATGCTGACTATGACCCCAAGAACACCATCGCTACAGTCGAGCACAGAGGTGGAAACATTACGCTTTGGGGCCGTTTCTCTGCTGAGCGTACAGGACAACTTCACTGTATTGAGGGGCCGATGGACGGGGCCATGTACCGTCAAATCCTGGACGAGAACCTCCTTCCTTCAGACAGAACACTGAAGATGGGTCGTGGATGGGTCTTACAGCATGACAATGACCCAAAACACCCTTACGGAACAAAAATATATGGGAATATACTGCAAAATATAATGCGATATAAAATACATAATACATTTTCATATATGGGAAACTAGTGCTTATATTTTTCAATATACTGCAATATATGCATTGTATGGCTATATATTAATGAATATAAAATATTTACAAATGAAAACAAAAATAGCATTACATGTAATATTCACAAAGTTTTATTCTTTATTGTGTACATATACTGCACATACATGTTCCCATATAAATGTGAATGTATGTTCACACACACATATATATATACACACACACACACACACACACACACACACATTCACGGAATGAGTTACAACAGATGTCTAGTTCCCAGCATGCTTTTCTTCTGACTGTTAAAGGAGAGCAAATGTTAAAACTAAGTGTTATTTAATGTGTTTTGCTCAATATTAATATTAATATAGGGGGATATCTTTTAGTGTTTAATGTTCTAATATTTGGGAATTTAAAAGGTTTTCTGGTATGTGTGAGTTGTTGGGGTCATTGTGCTGAAGAGGAGAGCCTGTGCTTCGCTTGACGATTGGCCTAAACACATTAAGACTATAATTACTATATTTAAAAGTAATGGCTGTATACTCCTCAGCACAGTGATGTTCTTTTGGTTAAATGCGTTAATACATGCAGGTGTGCTTGAGCTTTTGATAACTAGCTTGAAAATATGAAACATTTATAATGTCAATAATAAAAAAAAAATTATATTACATTATATATTTCTCGATATACAGTATGTGTGTATATGCTGCATGAGTAAATATATTACACATGCAGTACCATATCTGATCACATATACATCTATATATTATGAAGTGTATTACTGAATATAAAATCACATACATTATGATATATTAGTAAATATATTGTCAAAAGCGGCAATTCCTTATGTATTATTCACTATTTTGTAATACTTACAAAATCAGCCAGGGATCAAATAATTATTTTCCCCACTGTACAAGGTTATCAACATTGATTTGACATGTTTTTAACAGATGCTGAAAAAAACACAATGTGTGAAAGTTTCTGCGACTGAAAGCTCATCAATATTTCATGAGGCACACTCATAGTTTAAGAGCACTTGTCTGTTTCTAAACAACTCGCTGTCAAAACATGTTTTCCCATCTGTACACTACCAGGACAAATGTTTAAAATATTTCTTGTTGATCAGTGAGCTTAAGCTTAAAAGCTTGAAATTAGTTTTGCAAGCAAGCAGAGCAAATACAGAACGTGTATGTGTCCGTGTTCTCTGAGAGACATTAAGGTTGTTATTAGTTGCATTAGACAGACATTTGCAAAACATATTAACCATCATTTGTTGGCACCCTCTCCAGATCGAGCGCCTGATAGCAGAAAACACTAAGCTCAAGCTGCGACTCATGAACGAGGAGGTAGTTCAGCAGGCCATAAAGGACAGAGACCATGCCATCGCAAAGTAAATATTAAACGCTTACTTGGTACTATGGTTCCTTAAATGAGAAAGACATATACATAATATAATTATCATTTATTATAGAAAGGTGTCATTTTTAAGATTTTAAGTGTTGGTTTCCTCTCACGCAGGAAGACAGCGATGGAATCAGAGCTGCTGAGGACGAAGCATGATATGATGTGTTTAAACAACCAACTCCTGGAAGCCATTCAGCGTAAACTCGAGCTGTCGCAGGAACTGGAGGCCTGGCAGGTAGAAAACCGTAGTCTGATCACAACAGTGGACTTACAAAAGTCCTCACGTATGGATTTGCAGTTGTTAGGATAATGTTTGTGATGCTGTTCAGTGGTCGTGCTCTGTCTCCCCCTGCTGTTCACAGTGGAAGCATGCGGCTGTTTAATGTGCCATCATGGAACTGCGTTTGAGATGAAATTAATTGATATCAACTAGCACATAGACACAAATTAAAATAATTATGTGCAAAAGAATAAAAACGATTGACTTGTACCCCTCAGGACGATATCCAGATTATCATCAATCAGCAGCTGAGGAGCCAACAGCAGACAGAACAGCAGCAACTGCCCCAGAAGAGATCCACGGGGCGTCTTTCTTTCCTGCGTAAGTCCAGACGGCCCTCTTCTTCCCCCACGGTCGTGTCCGAGATCGGCCCAGAGCAGAACCTGTCCCACTGGAGAGACTGGCTCAGACTGAGCAAATGAACCTCACACACTTATGATCAATGCCAAAAACACATTCTAACCATGTTAGAAAACAATGAAAAAGAACAACAACATTTTCTTGGAGAAAAGTCCTGCTTTCACATGTGCAAAAACACGTGGTCACATGTGGAACACACACTTTGCACATGTGAAATCCATGTGATGGCATGCTCATGTGGTTTTTCAGAAAGTGTTGGGTGAATCTCACAAAAATGCATTTCTCCCCAAACTCAAAAAATAAAAAGAAGTAATATTTTGAATGAAGATAATGCATCTTTTTAGAACCACTGTTTTTTTTTTTTTTTTTTTTTTTTTTTCATTGACAAATTTGGACAATCAAGCACATTTTCCTTAGCCTGGGAAAACCCAGACAACTTCCGGGAAATTTAGATTTGCTCTGAAAGTTAGTCTGGCAAAGAGCTCATTCAAGCCCATTTCCAATCCGTCGAAATCGAGGCACCAATCAGAAATGTTGGGGTGGGCTTTACACGATGACGACAGCGCTGGGATTTTGAAGCAGATTTTGTAGCCTAGATGCAAAGATGGATGCCGCCGTCGAACATCACTCGTTCGAATCAGCTATCGCGTCTGTTTTATGCGATTTGAACGTTTCCTTTTTGTTAAAAACCGAGCAAAGAACAACACTCGGAGATGTTTCTCCGCCGCTCTGCATCTCCTTCATCGCTCTGATTGGTTTTAGGTCTATCCGCGACATCCGTTGGTGACGGCCCTCTGGAAATGATTTGTCTATGACGCTTTGCCAGACCATAACTAAGTTACAACTGAGAATGGTCTGGTTTTAACCAGGCTACATTTCCCTCTCAAAATTCTCATAAATGTAATGCATCCAAATGTTTTAGCTATTATTTCATTATTTTAATTCCCAGTTTTGACATACGTGGCCATGCTTTTACTCTCTCAGTAAAAATGAATGAAATATAAATATTTGTAATAATTTCTTTATTTAAGAAAAAATTAAACATAAATACTGTGGTATATACGATGGTATATGAACATTTTACGATTCCAAAATCCTGGTATTTTTGCATTACGGTAATAAGAATGAGATATTTTGTTGTGGTAGTGGAATGTGCCGTGGTTGTAATCTCATTGTTCCTGAAATTATTATTATTATTTTTTTTCAATCCTTATGCAAAATAGGATTTCCTTTTTCTTTCTATTGACTTTGGAGTGAAATGTGCTTTTAAAGGTTTTTGTGAGATTTAATTGTATATTATGAGTATTTATACTTACTTTACAGTCATTACTTTACATATGATTTTGTGGAAAACGTGTTTATTTAAATGGTACTATTAATTTACATGGTAATTTTCTGCTGCTGTCAAATCCTTAAATGTAAGTGATGAGAGAATCAATACAATGACATCATGCTGGTCATGATCTTGTTGATTTGAATGGCATTTCACATAATACTATTATGATATAATAACATTACACAGAAAGAAACATTTACCTGAACTGCAAGTATGTGGGCATGAAAGTATGTTTCAGTAGACTATAGTGAAATACTCAAAATGGTGCTTAAGATTTCAAAAACTGACATTGTTCAATGCAATAATGCTCTGTATCATATGAAGAATCTGTAGCGCTCAAACTTGTGCCATTGTAATGATTTAAAGCCTGTTCACACTTTTTTTTACAGTCTATGGTTCACACCAAGAACGATCACCATAAAGATAGTTCTTCTGCTAGAAGCGAGTTATCATTAATGCAGTTTTTAAAGCTAGTTTTGTATGTAATTTATATATTTTTCAATGTGACAGATTTATACAATTAAATGTTTTTATTATGAACAGTCTTCAGAATATTTATTGAGAAATGCATTTCCACACCAGGCATTTGTGTTTTCCGTTGTAAAGATCATTAGTTATTAACTTAGGGGCCCGTCACACGACACCGTTTTAACTGAAAACAGAAAATGAATGTCCACTAATACAACATCACATTGTCCAGGTACAAAAGCCCATTAACACAGTCATGTCATCACATTTCTTTAGGGAATGAGACAAGCATATCAGATAAATAAAAAAAAAAGATAAAAAATCACAACTAATTAGTCATTCAGTAAGACAGATTGCACTGCGCTCAAAGCAATGTGCACAACAGGACATCTTGTTTTCCCAGGTAAAGGAGGATATATATTGATTGAAAGGGTTTTAATCATGGCGGTCAAAAAAGGACGGGTAAAAAACTAGTGAGGATTGAGACAAACAGAAAGTATACTCCCATCTTCACAAATGTATTCTTACAGCCAAAGTAAAAGGAAGACCTCACCACCTCTTCAAATCCAGATGAATTATTATAAGGCAAGGAAACCATTCCCTTTTTTTTGTATTTATTTTCTATACTGAAAACTTCCAAACTAACCTGATAATAATACAATCTCATATGGCATCACTAATGTAAAGCAAAATGTCTTCTGCATATAGAAACAATACACCCTCTTGCTTGTAACAGTTTGACTGGTTTTATTGCTGTTTTCAATTGCAAAAAAAGGGGGTGAAGCAATGGGTATCCTTGATACATATCTGTCGAGTCTAAAATGAATTTCAAACTATATAGTGAGGAATAAAAAGTTTTGCAAATACTGTTTGTTTTAGGTTGCTTGTTTGTTTAGTCTTTTATCTTTTACAGGAATAAGAAGCACCTTTACTTTTCCGCTGGTGAACCAAAAGCTATTTGATTTGTATAAGAGATTAAGCTTCTCCAATGTGTACATTTTAAGATATTTGAAGGCCAAACAAAAGGGAATAATAGGTTTAAACCATGTCTGTGGGCATAAATGATTTGTAAAGCAGATAACAGATTCTTAAAGATGAGAATCTGGTTAAATGTTACATTAAATGATCGACACCAGAAATTCAGAAGAGTTGTCTAATTTCTTTCCTCCCAAAGTTTATTAAGAAGAGTTCAGTAAAATATGCTTTTATCATTTTGGATTTAAATTATAGAAATCTGTCTCAAACAGTGCATAAACATATGCAAAATAAGTTTTATATGAGCTATTTGTTTGAACATAAAAGCTCAAATAGTTTCAGTATCTTTCTTTCCTGAATTAACCATGTTTTTAACCAATTGAACTGTTCAGTCACAATCACTTGTGGCCTCCCCCTGGCTGAATGATGCAAGTTGCACTGAAGTCAGTCTGTTCGCAATGTTCCCAATGCTGATAGTAGTGCATTTACTGAATGTATGTGGATATTCTTTATTAATCATATGCCAAATATGCTGAAAACAGCTCTCTTATTGTCTCGTCACATTGACAAATATGAATTAGCTTGTCATGATTCACCTAAATGAGACATTTTCAATTAAAAGGTCCGAAAATAAGCAAAAGTATATTAGTTTGTAATGATGAATAGTGTTTGGAGTGTTTCCGGTATGGTTTGTATCAACCAAAAGAGGGACAAGAAAGGACAACCTGTGAACCGGCATCAGGCATCAGTGTATTCTTTACTGCTGTAATTGTTTCGAAGTCACCATAATGATGATCAGTGTTCCATTAGCTAGGGATCTTGGACCCTCTGTATTCATGTGAGAAAAAAAAAAAAAAAAACTTTTGTTAAAATTCTGTTAACTACAATTTGAAATTGTTTAGTCAAACTATTCTTAGCATGAATGTGAAGATTGTATTAAAGCATTAAGCATGAATATTTACCTATTACTTATCTTAAAATCATAATTTTTAGCAGATGGATCTTTCGCAACTGCTGCTATAAGCATCACCCAATGATGCGCAGACATCAATACTTGATATACATAACATGATGTTTTATTAACAAAGTTCGGGAGGAACACATTCAAATGATCTATCCAATCAACACGTCTATCCAATCAGCATGAGAGGAGGCCTATATAAAGGGCTTTACATAGAAGGGGGGAATCTCCTCCACCACCACCACCACCACCAATGTGCAGCACCACCTGGATAATTTGACCGCAGCCATACTGCGTCAGAATGCCATACCAGCTAATTGGTGGAGAGGAGACAGAGTGATAGAGCCAATCAGTATATGGGGATGATGAGGAGGCCATGATGGACAGAGGCCAATGGGCAAATGTGGCCAGGATGCCTGGGTTACACCCCTACTCTTTTTCCAAAGGACATCCTGGGATTTTTAATGACCACAGAGAGTCAGGACCTCGGTTTGACGTCTCATCCGAAGGATGGATTTATATGTTTGTGGTTATACATAATAATCAAGACAGGAACAGGAAGATAAAGGACAGGAAACAGTGGACAAGAATGAACAAGACTGAATTTCAAAATAAAAGACATGAACTAAGAACATGAGACACAATCTAAACAGACGTGACATGATCACTAGCACTCAGTTTTAACACGGGATTGTTATTGTGCCTCAAATAAATGTAACATTTTACTTCTTTCAGTCAATTATTTTTTATACAGGCCTACCATTGTCTAAAACTGCATACACTCTGTGATAATCATCACTGTCACAGAGACAAAAACAAATATGCAAAATATTAATATGTAAAATATAACCATTAAATATGGCCTTTTTGCCAATATCAGCAGAATATGAAACTGAACATTTCCTCCCGTCAAACACAGGGTTTCTGTGTTTTGAGAAAGAAGCACAGATCTTTCTTTCAGTGACTCTGGTGGTTCCTCACCTTCTCCAGTATCGGTCACGTGACCTCAGTTTCAGAAGATCACTGTTGTGAGTCGGGTGAGTTTCCCCGTTTGAACAAAGAGAACTCTGTGAAGTACTAGATTGAGATCAATTATACAGACAACACTTAAAGTCATTGGGCTTAATAATGTAGTTATTCATTAGGAAACTGGAAATATGAGAACCTGAAAATATTTAACAGTTTTACAAAAGTGGATTATGCATTTCATTATATTCTGTTATTATATGACAAATTCCTTTATAATGTACATCATAAAGTCTGTTAAATGAATAAATGTAAACGTAAAATGTAATTGTTAAAAGTGTTCTGATCTCCTGCCAGTATGCTCTGTAATGTCTTTAAAGTGCTATACTTAAAACCCTTGTGAAAAATGAAGTACACTTTGAGTGCTTATTACAGAAATAATATACTTACAATTATAATTATGTGTAAACTTAATTGCATGCCATTTGCTATTAAAGGAAAATTCATCAGTTTAAAGTCAGTTATAGTTGAACTTAAGAGTTTATTTTGATCCACATAAATACAGTTGTTGTAATTACACATTTTTATTGATGAAGTTAAAATGTTGTACATTTAAAATATATTAACGTTAAATGTAATATCAAATAACAGTCAAGTACTTTATTTGTGCACTAGTATGTTAGTCAACACATGTGTACTTCTTTAAACCACAAAAGATTATTAAAACCACGATTAAAAACTTTTAATTTGGCATTATTACAAAGTGCACTTTATAAAAATGCAATTAATACAATCAATACAATTATTAAAGTGTAGTCTGAGATCTCATGTAAACAAAACACTCATTGACTTGGTAATAAGTATTTAATAAAAATAAGTATTTGATATAAATATTTCAGGCTGTGAACCTCAACGTCTGTTATGTTTGTGTTATTTTGACTGTTTTGTTACTTGATAAAACGTTTTACTTTAACTGTTGCCCTTATTTTCCTAGTAATGGCATATTAAATTAATGACCATGTTTACATGCAAGTTCATATTATGGTTAAGTCTTAATTCCCCAAAAAGACGTCCGCATGCTTCACGGTTGTTGAATGACCCTGCAGTCAGCATATGTCCAAATGAAAGAAATACCACTGTTTGTTGAATCATTTTAGTAACTCGGCAAGTTATTTATTCAAATCATTACTTCTCATTCAATTCTGCACACAGCATGGCATAGTGATTTGCAAAATGTAGACCAATAGACGTTCACAGTGCTTTCAGACATGGAATAATGAAAAACACACTATAGTTAGTATGCTTTCCGTCGTCTGTTGTATATAGATTGGAAGATATAGATATATGGATGGAACAACAGTTTAGCGAACAGCTGAATGTAGTAGTTGACCAAGAAATACACTAAGTAGATTCTGCCATCCCTATAGCATATTGAAAAACCCCAATTAATGGTGTTAATATGATCAATGTCGGTAATTTAGCCTGCGTGCTGGTCTTAACTGAGCTGACACTGATCCTGTGTTTATAGAAACAGGTGCCATACCCTGGTAAAGTGATATGCTTGATGTATGCGTCATTCATATGAGTCCCTGTTCAATATTTCAAGTTACCGCAGTTAAAGGCTTTTATTATGCATTTGATTTCACTTTATTTAGATAGCCCCTTTAACACATTCTGTTGTCTATAAGTAGCATTGCACCTACATGTCTACAAACTCTCATTAGAGTATTAGTAGAGTATTAGCAGACTGGTAGGGTTAGGGTTAGAATAAGTTGACATGTAGTTGCAAAGTTACTTATAGTCAGATTGTTTGTTGGAGGACCATTACCCATTGTTTTTCTATAATGAAGATAACTTCAGCTAGATAATTAACCTCTGACAAGAGTGTTTGTTTAACTACTGTCGTTGTATTCTGTCTCTTACTTGCCACCATCTGCCACCTACACTTGTAAGGTGATCTGTTGATGATTTCATGGTGTGTATTTGGCTTTGTTGCTAACTGGAGGTAACATGGCCCCGTGGCTTGAGTTTCAGGTTTTCTCTAGTCATCATGATTATAAAGGAACAGATCCTGAAATGAATTCAAGCATCCATACTGCAATATTCAAAATTCATCGTGGGTTGATGTATTCATTTATTGTTGAACTGGAACAGAAAGGTATGTTAATGTTCCTGATCAACAATACAGTAGCTTACACAGATTACTAACTTTACGGACTAAACTGACCGTGCTCAGATCCTCGGCTGTTCTTTGTGCCTCAATGCTCACTATAAAGTCACACTCTCACCCATTCTGGGTCACAATAGCCCACTTCAATTATCCTAGAGCCACTTTTTAGTTCAGTTTAGTTATTTTATTCTTCGAATACAAATTGAAGTGGCAGTAAGTGTTTATCAAACAATGATACATGTAAAAGAGTATGTGCTTCTCAAATTCCATTTCTACAGCTTGATGAAATACATTGTATAAATAATAAAGAAATGCACATTACAATTCAAATCAATAATAAAGAAATGCACATTACAATTCGAATCATGTAAAGTAAATACATTACAACATGGACATTTACCTGTGTCTAGTTGAGGAAAAAGGACAATGACAAGTTTAAATTCTCCAACATAGTAAACACACAGTCAACTCATCTGTGCCAAATATCTTAGTGCAACTAGTCCTACAAAACTAAAAGAAATGGCCAATAAATAAAAAGTCAGCTTTATACACCTCAGGTAACTGAAAATCATGCTTTGTTGAGAATTCGATCGGGAGGAACAGTCCGAGTTTACATTTTCATAGCAATTACCAAAGGTCATTTTCACACGGTCAGCGTTTGAGTTCTTATATTCTGAACAGCCAAAACCGCACTGACATAGAGATCAAAAACATCAAACAACTTCCTCAGACATGTTCCCCTGTGGCATATTTCCACTTTTCTCCAGAAAATATGATGTCCATATATTGAGCTGTTGGTTTCACACATAGTCTCTTCTGTCATACCCTCCTCCACCCGTTGAGCGAGACGCAGGATACGGCATTCGAGACTGGCTGTATTTCTTGTCTTGTGGAGGACAGGAGCAACAGAGCAAGGAACCGCCCATGATCAAGAGCACAGATGCTGCCCAGCCGATGTACAGCGCGGCTCCCAGCTCCCGTCTCTGGGCATCGGGCAGCAAAGGGTTGTAGAAGTCCCTGATGATACTGTTGGCAGACCAGGACACAGGGATCAGCTGCATAAGCCCAGCCACGATGAAGAGCACCCCTCCGAAGATCATCACTTTAGCTTTGGACGACTCATCCTCAATGCAGTTAGTGCACTTTGCTCCTCCGATGGACACCAACACAGCCAGGACGGTCAGAAGGATGGATATCACGGTCAGGGCTCGAGCTGCCTGGAGGTCCTGCGAGAGGGCCAGCATGGAGTCATAGACTTTACACTGCATCTGTCCCGTGCTCTGCACCACACAGCTCATCCACAGACCATCCCAGATGATCTGAGCCGTCACGATGTTGGAGCCGATAAAGGCTGTGACCCTCCACATGGGAAGAGCACAAGCCACGATGGCCAAGAGCCAGCCCAGCACACTTGACACCATACCTATAAGCTCCAGCCCTAAAGACATGACTTCTTAAAGATCTGCGACTGCTACATGCAATGCCAGAGCGTCCAGTAACCGGGCAAGCAGCTAGAGCAGATACAAGCCTAATTTGAGCCAATGCCTCAGAGCAAATGGAGCGCATCTGTGACAAAACAAGTGTCCTTTATATCCCAGATCAGGTAGAGAGGAGGAGTCTGTTAGGATGTAGACATTACACAGAGGAAGGGCTTAGTCACACCAGAACTAAAACTGCTCTCCATTCTTGGAAAGTATTGGGAATTAAGAACAAAACATCATTTATTTGCCCATCAATGGAGACTCTGCCAGTGCTTGTGCACATTCATTTTTATAAAGGTTGACAAAATATACATTTGAAGGTATTCTTTTGAAAGAATTAGCATTTTTTTCGGTAATACCAGCAAAGACCTTAATATTGAGTAGTTTTAGAGTATTGTCATTCGTGAAAGCTATTGTAATTTGTAATAGTAATTCCTTCCGATGGATTTGGTAACACTTAAGTCATTACTAGTGGGTTACCATGATCTTCACTATAAAATACTGATCCAAATAATCAGTAATTCGGTAACACTTTAGTGTGGAGTCTAATTAAAAGGAGCAAATTCAGTTACACTTTAGTTTAGAGTCTAAACAGCATGTTGAATGTTATATTTTGCTTCTTGTTTACAATTAACTGCATAACCTGGCTCCTTCATACTTATCTGACCTACTTTCAACATATACTCCCCCTCTAACTCTTAGATCATCGTCTACATTCTCCTTAGTTCTTCCTCGCATGCGTTTGGCTTCTTATACTTCCACAGGACATTCACAATAGTGACTCTCTCCTTCAATTTAAAAATCTCATTTGAAAACTTATCTTTTTAGGCAGGTATACTGGTGATATTGTATATGTATCTCCTATTGGTTGTAAAGCTTTTTGGAAAGTTTTTGTTGTGGTTGTTGTTGTTGTTTTTGCTTAAAGGTACAATATGTAAGAATTTTGTATCAAAATATCCAAAAAACTCTTGCACAGTGTTAGATATTTCCTTCAATTGTGTACTCACATTATCCTAAATGTTTCCAGGAATTTGTAAATTCAGAGAAATTCACAATTTTATAAAGTGCCCATCCCTGTTCACTTGTCGCCTGTCAATGACGTAATATCCACTTTATCCCTGGTTTCCGCTTGTACTGCCATAGCAACCATGGCGACAGAAGTGAACAACAGCGTAATGTCTTGCGGCACACTGTTGTTGTTTCGTTTAAACATAATGGACCATGGCAAGCAGACTTTGGGACAAAAGGAGAAATAAAACGGGGATCAATATCAGCGTGGTGTTTTCGAGATGCCGAGAGCTCCATGGCAAACTTCGACTTGACAGAGACGCTCTTGCATGTAACGTTACCTTAGACAGGTCAGCAAATGTACATAAAACTAATCAATGTTATATAGCTCAACATGATGAAATGTTAGGATATGATCAGTAGGTTATTCTCATGTTGATCTAGCTCACTGCTAGTCTCATACAGCCAAACTAACACATAGAATAACATTATAACTTTCAACACATTCAAATGCAGTTTAGCATGATAGTGTAGACCAAGTGAAACAGCGCTGCGTTACCTCACAATTTGAATTTGTTACATAAACTGACCAGTTTAAGTGTTAATTCAGCACTTGAGGGTAGTTCGGTAGAATGAAATGTCCTCATTCCTTGATATCCGCTTACTTAAGCTGGACTGTGACGCTATTTTCTTCTGGAAGCAAACTTTTTTGCATTATTTTCCTCTTATCTCTGTAAAGCTGCTTTGAAACAATCTGTATTGTAAAAAGCACTATAGAAATAAATGTGACTTGACTTTCATTAGCAATCGCGACCTGCTTCATAGCACAAGTCATGTTAAAAAACATGAATGTATTCACTCATCCATAAACATTATTTCCCATAAACATTATTAGATCCATCGGAATGACGACAAGTTCCATGATTCCGCTTATTCACTGCGTCATCAATCTACGCCTTTGTTATTGTAAGAGGTTAGCGACCCCTAGCGGAGAAAAAAATTACATTTTGCAGCTTTAAAGTTTTTTTGTTGCTTTTTTTATTGTTGCTTGTAAATTGTTTTGTGTTTTATCTTCATGTAAGGTGTAAGGCGCCCAATAATAAAATGTATAATTATTATTAATTCTTTGGTTGGTTATTAGCATGCATATTACTAGGATATTGGCTGATTAGTAGTTCTTATGAAGCACATATTAATGCCTTATTCTGCATGACCATATTATAAATCCCTTAATCCTACCCAACACCTGAACTTAACAACAACCTTAGTAACTATTAATAAAAAGTAATTAGGTTGTAATTAAAGAGTTGGATAATGGTGAGAATTGGACCCTAATCTAAAGTGTGACCAGTAATTATTTTAGAAGTATATAGTAACACTTGAATCATTACTATCCAAAAACATTACACAAACCTCAAAAGTTTACAATGACTTGAGTCATTACTAGAAAGTTATCATGCTTTTCACTTTAGAATACGGTTTCAAATAATTAGTAATTAGTAATTCCTTCTGAAGGATTTGGTAATATAAGTCATTATACTTGTTGGTTATCATGATCTTTACTTTAGAATTATTTATACATTATATATTATTCACATTAACTGTAAATATATTAGTTATATATATTATAGTTTTATTAGTTATCCAGGAGGTCTGAAAAAAAAAGTAGCTAAGAACTACCAAGTTATTCATTAATGATAGATCAGAATTCTAAAGTGTTACCGGGTTAGGGTTTGTTTTTGCTAAAAAAAAGGATGGCTAACTCTCCAATTCTTGGAGACTTTTGTACCTGTCAAAAGTTCGGAAACATTATGTTTGAAAAAAAAAATGTTTTTTGAAAGAAGTCTCTTCTGCTTAAGGCTGCATTTATTTAATCAGTAACATCGTAAAAAAATATTACAAATAAAAATAACAGTTTCCTATTTGAATATATTTTAAAATGTAATTTATTCCTGTAATTTTTCAGCATCTTTCCTCCAGTCTTCAGTGTCACATGATCCTTCAGAAATCATTCTAATATGATGATTTTCTGCTCAAGAAACATTTATTATTATTATTATTAGCAATGTTGAAAACAATTTTTGCTGCTTACTATTTTTGTGAAAGCAATGATCCCATTCAAACATTTTTGGTAAGATGTGGTAAAAAAAAAAAGAGAACATAATACTTTTATTCACTAAGAATGAATTAAATTGATCAAAAGTGACAGAAATCTTTTGTAACATTATAAATGTCTTCACTATTTAATAAATGCTGTTCTTTTAACTTTCTATTCAAAGAATTCTGAAAAAAGTCTCACCATTTCCATAAAGCATGTTAATACCAGGATCTAATTGCCGCAGAATAGTCGTCCAAACGCAACAATAACAGAAACTGAACTAAACTAAACACAGGGCTTAAATTTCAAGGTTTGCATTCTCGAGCCACCAGGCACTGTTGTTGTGCGAATGAGCGGGCCGGAACGCGTTAAGGTTTTTCCGTTAGTACGGAGTCGTGTAAGCGGTGTAAGTGTAAGTTAATAACTAATGATCTTTGCAACGGACAACTTTGCAACTTTAGCTGGACAATAACTTTATTCTAGAGCTGCTGTAAAGCCAAAACAATCTCTGTTACTTTAATTTCCTATTATCACTGTAAAGCTGCTTTGAAACAGTCCATGTTGTTAAAAGCGCTATATAAATGAAGGTGAATTGACTTGACTTAAATACACAGGGACTAATCAAAGAAATGAGACACAGCTGACATGACTAATGAGTAATTAACACAACATGTGAAGGGGATAAATCAATAAGACACACTGGGAAACATGGTCAAATTAACAGACACACAGGCAAACATGAACTGAACACAATGACTCGGACTCGGGAACTTATCTCACTGGAACGAACTCGGGAACTTCTCTCACAGGAACGGACTAGGGAACTTCTCTCACTGGAACGGACTCGGGAACTTCTCTCACTGGAACGGACTCGGGAACTTCTCTCACTGGAACGGACTCGGGAACTTCTCTCGCTGGAACGGATTCGGGAACTTCTCTCACTGGAACGAACTCGGGAACTTCTCTCACTGGAACGGATTCGGGAACTTCTCTCACTGGAACCGATTCGGGAACTTCTCTCACTGGAACGAACTCGGGAACTTCTCTCACAGGAACGGACTAGGGAACTTCTCTCACTGGAACGGACTCGGGAACTTCTCTCACTGGAACGGACTCGGGAACTTCTCTCACTGGAACGGACTCGGCAACTTCTCTCTCTGGAACGGATTCGGGAACTTCTCTCACTGGAACGGACTCGGGAACTTCTCTCTGGAACGGACTGACTACGGAACTACTCTCACTGGAACGGATTCAGAAACTTCTCTCACTGGAACGGATTCGGGAACTTCTCTCACTGGAACGGATTCGGGAACTTCTCTCACTGGAACGGACTCTAGAACTTCTCTCACTGGAACGGACTCGGGAACTTCTCTCACTGGAGAGGACTCGGGAACTTCTCTCACTGGAACGGACTCGGGAACCTCTCTCACTGATTCGGGAACTTCTCTCACTGGAACGGATTCGGGAACTTCTCTCACTGGAACGGACTCGGGAACTTCTCTCACTGGAACGGACTCGGGAACTTCTCTCACTGGAACGGACTCGGGAACTTCTCTCACTGGAACGGACTAGGGAACCTCTTTCACTGGAACGGATTCGGGAACTTCTCTCACTGGAACAGACTCGGGAACTTCTCTCACTGGAACAGACTCGGGAACTTCTCTCACTGGAACGGACTCGGGAACCTCTCTCACTGGAACGGACTCGGGACTCGGGAACCTCTCTCACTGGAACGGATTCGGGAACTTCTCTCACTGGAACGGAATGACTCGGGAACGTCTCTCACTGGAATGGACTGACTCGGGAACTTTTCTGGACTGACTCGGGAACTTTTCTGGACTGACTCGGGAATAGGGATGGGAATCGAGAACCGGTTCTTCTTCAGAACCGGTTCCCAGTGAACCAATTCCTTGGAACCGTTAGTATGCCTGCTTAACGATTCCGCTTATCGGTTCCGCTCGTT